AGATAGGCAGCTTTCGTAGACCTTCGTAGCGGGTTACGTAGGTCTACGATTATCGCTAAAAATATCTGAAGAATGTAGCATAGGTACGTCTCCATATTCTATGTGCATGCATAAAGTTTCACGAAAAAAATAACTTTTTTGTGATGTGTACAAAAAAGACAAAAAAAAAGGTGTCATGAAACACTATTTAGAAGCACTGAAATTTGTCTTTTTCTGCGAAGACAAAACAAAAATACATTTTTTTCACAAAACTTTATGCCGTGCACACACATTTGCGAACATGTATGCATGAAATTTTCTTTTGAATTTTTCAACATTTTAAAACATGCATAAATGCATTTTTTGAAAAGTGGGTGCATATGCCCATGCATGCAGGACGTGCCCTCTCCGGTTCTCACCCACACGTTTGCCCAAAAAAGGTTCTCACCCACATGTAAAATAGTCACCCCTAAAAAAACATGTGAAATATATTCTTGCCCTAAAAAATGTAAAATATAGTCTCTGTAAAAAAGTTGTAAAAGATAGCCAAGATATACTCCCATGATAGTTACGACCACCTCAGATGTTCATGTTCAAAAAAATTGTACAACAACATTACCCAGCAGCATCTACTGGGAGCTAATGAGAACATAAAACACAGCTACTCGGTCGCTCAGATGACCATTACAACTTGCTATTCCTTGCAAATAAATCAGGTTAACATCTCAAACACGGTAGAGGAAGGGATACTTAGCCGTGAAGAACATACAAATTGATTACATTTCAGCACATAAGATACATGTCCTGGCATACGTTGATGTCATCATGATCTTGGGAACAAGTCAAACATCATGATATTCTGAAACTTTCATCTGCGGATCTAAGCCCTCACAGCTGCCATGAGTTGTTGCAAGCAGGTAGCGTACTGAACTGCGGTGTGCTGGAAAGAGTAATGGTCGGAAAGGCCATACTCTGCGAAATTAGATTCTACATGGATGAATCGACCAGGCAGCGACTTCTTTGCGAGTGTTTCCTGCCATATGTCAAAGAAGTCTACCATAATTGCCCTGGACTTTTCGATAGAAGACAGGGGGTAATACTCTACCTGCACCGAAAGCAACATAAACCTTCGTGTCAGCCTTGCAAGCACGGAAATGATCTTGGACATAAACCACTGAATACTGGATTCTCAGTGGGTTCTAAAATTTGGAAACCAGTGGAACGTTTTGAAAATAAAACTGCAACTGTAGTATTGAAAGTATCCCCATTATCCATGCCACAGAAATGTTCATCTCCTTTGGTGGGAAATTTTGCAGGTTTTGGTGCTGACTTCAAGGCCTAAGAAGGCAAGATTTTTTTTCACTGGTCAACATATTAGATTCAACAACTTTGAGTGCTATTTTCGAAATTTCTTGTTACCAGAAATATTGGTAGGGGCCAGAAAATTTTGATAATGAGATTTGTTTACCAGCTAACTCGAGTAACAACGGCAAAAGAAAGGCGCTGATGCTTCACAAAGAGTTACAGGCAGGTCCACACTACAGAATATTCTAGAATTCATCTAGTTTTTCCCTTCTTTCAGTTAATAATTTGAACTAATTACACAGACAAAGGTGTAGATCATAACGTATGTTTACAGGTTAATCAATATGTCCAAAAATAATGAGATGGCCCTCTGAACTATTGCTAGAAAGGATATCAAGAGCCTTACGAATTTAAAGCTCAGAAGCTGTACTTCAAAAATAAAATCATGTAGGTGCGACAGATCATCTGCTAAGTTCATCAAGCTTAACATAGGTAGATTTATCTAACTCACAATAAAGCAAAAAAAAAAAGAGAAAATAGGCTGTAGATTTCTACTTATCAATAGAGGACATCCCATACTAGCTTGGCCCTGTATAGATCTAGACATCAAGAATTAGGCTGAGAATCTAAGCAGCAAAACCCCATTCTTATATTAACAGTACTCAGTACTTAGTCAAACTAATTAATCCCTCTGTAAAGAAATATAAGATCTTTTAGTTCACTAAAGAGTACAAAATTGATTCAACGCATTTGGTCTGAGTCTCACCTTGAACTAAGAAAAGTCAACAATCAATGAGTCCATACGATTAAGACCAACAGGGTATGACCAAAAATCGAAAAGAAAGAAAATGTACCTCCATCATGATTCCTCTCAGTGTTTCAGTATTGTTAGGAACACATTTTCCTATCCTCAAGCAAAAGTCACCCAGTTGATACTGGAATCCCTATAAACGGAAACATTGTAAGGTGTGAATCTAACGAACTTTTCATATGAGACAATTCAACAAACACACTGTAATATAATAAGCACAACATAAAACGAACAGAAGATGGAACTTATGAAAAAGTATCTAGGACAAAATGAGGGGTTAACAGAGCAGAAAAGATAAATATAAGTAACATCCAAATAGCTTCATTGTGAGCCTCAATGATCAGGTAAGTTCTATGCAAATTTTCCATTGATCACTACTAACTGAAAGACATCCATTTCCTGAAATTAGAAGTCGAACTGGAAGCTGGTAGATGGTCTATTTTGTCACTGTTGTTCGCTTGAGAGATGTAAAACCATGCAATTGGCTTAGATCTATACAAAAAATGGATTTAAGGACTGGTTCAACAATGGGGTAGTTTCATTCCTGCCTTTTGTAATTAGTTTACTCAGGTACTGTGAAACGCTTGAAAGAATTAGGCTGAGGTTCAAAAATTTAATCACCACTGGTTCAATTAAATAAAGAAAATGGATTTTACAAACCTAAATCCTTAGGTGTGACATGAGAAGAAATCGTAAGGGCAGTGAAGGAAACAAGGTGACCTCGAAGTTGAGGTTGACGCGGGCCTTGAAGGACTGGAGCTTCTCCATGACCTGGGAGAAGGCAGCGTCCGCCTGCAGGACGAGGCGCTGGTTCCGGAGGATGGAGAAGTAGAGCCCGGGGCGCTCGTGGAGCGCGACGCCGAGGAGCTCGCGGGGCACGTCGGGGGGCAGGTTCTGCTGCGCCCCGCCCGCGCCGTCCCGCGTCATCGGGCGGTAGAAGATGATGGAGGTCTTCCAGCGGCCGTCCTTGGTGCCGCCGAGGGACTCCGCGCAGCCGCAGGCCTCCGACAGGATCTGGGTGTTGAGCGTCACCCCAGGGTTCGGGTGCCAGTGCATCAGCCTGCGCCGGGGAAACGCGGAGACGGGGTGAGCCAGCGGCTGGGCGCCGTGGGGAGAGAGGGGGGAGGGGGAGAGGCGCGAGCACGGTACCACTTGGCGGGGGCCATGGCGGCGAGTCGGTGGAGCGCCGGCGACGAGGGGCGACGGCGGTGTCTTGAGTCTTGGCAGGGTGCGGGCCGCCGGGCTTGGAGATGTGAGGTTCCTTCTTACCCAAATGCTAAATCTCACTTGTCTCCGGCCTATGTCAACAACAAAAAGAACAAAAGAACTTGTCTCCGGCGCTCCCGCGTGGCTGGCCCAATAACGTGGGGTTTATGAAGGTTCCGACCGGTTTTCCCCTTTTCTATGTTTTGTTCTTATTATTGGTTTTCTTTCGGTTTTTTCTAAAAAAAATCAAATACATGTCAACTTGTTTCAATATATCTTGAACAATTTTCAGTTACACGTTGAATTTTGTTTTCCCAAATACATGTTGAACATTTTTCAAATGCACATTGATCATTTTCTGAATACACAATGATTTTTTTAATAATTCCATGATTAAAATGTAATTATTTTAAGTGTTACAAACATTTTTTAAGTGTTATGAACAATTTTTAAAATGTAATCACCAATATTTTTGAATGGTACAAAACATTTTTCTAGAATTATGAGAAGCAATTTGCACATGGTATGAATTTAAATGTGGTGATTTTTCTTTGTAATGATATGAGCATTCTTTACAAATCAGTAAACAACGTATATTCGAGCCGAATCGTTATATAATCATATCAACAAGCTAACTCATTTTCATAGTAATTTTCCATGCACGCCGCAATTAATTAGCTCAATATTATACCATTACCGGATCATATTAATTTACCGTGCATCGCTTTTACATTTTGTGCCATCCTTTCGTGTAACAGGGTAAACTTGGATGTGATGTGGTTAGAGTACGATGGTACATACGTCGATTAAACCCTATTCAAACTCTACATGGGACTGGTCCCACAAAATAATTCCATTTTGGTCTCATAGGTATTGAAAAAAATAAAAAATGGCATGGTGACATGTGTGAGGCTCTGGAGCCATGCCTGCCAAGGCCGGAATTTGAGCCAAGCTGAGTTGGCTCTGCCCGACTCGTTACTGCTTGTTAAGATAATGAGTTAGCTTGGCTCGACTCATTAAAACAACGAGCTTAGATTCAAACATGGTTCGACTCATGTTGGCTCGTTTAACTCGATATAATTGTGAACAACAAAGTGTATTTATATATACGCAATGATATAACATATATATTTATGAACATATCTTTTTCTCCATACAAAATAACAATCAACAATTTATAGCCAAAGGGCACATGTCTCACTCCACAACTCAACTCAAGCTATTCATGAGTAGCCAACAAGTTCGGGCCGAGTGGAGCCAAAGTATGAGCTGTTCATTTTAGCCCGCAAGTGTCGAGTTTTATTTCGAGCCCTACCTCGCAGAAAAGGCCATCTCTAGTACATCTCTGGTGGATTATTCCTGTTGATCTGAATGTTTCTTTTCCAATCTTTGTTATTTCTTGAAATCCTGGAGCACATTACAGGAAAGCCAAGACAGAAGAGAAATTGAGGTTGGAGTGCCGAAGATCAAGGAGGTGGTGCGTGGGTGTTTGCCAAAGTTCATGATGTAATATGCTCCTGTCAAATGACAAGAGCACAAACAAGAGGGTCTGCAAGTGAAAAGGCAAGATAGGAAGATCTGCAAGTGACACCTATAGTTCATCCTAGGATGCAGTGGTCTAGCTGTGGAGCACTTGATGTAGTCCCTTTGTAAACAAATATAAGAAGTTTTAGATCACTATAATGTCTTCATGTAGGTCGCATTATGTTAAGCATGCATGCACATATTTTTTTTTTGCGGGTGAAACGAGCTGGCATTTATTAAGTAATGTTATTACACTCGTTTTCACAAATATGACAGAGATTGTCAGGCCCAGACAAAAGCCAAACCATAGTACGATGTGTGATTCGTCCCATTTGAGCCATGCAATGAGCAGCACTATTGGCTGATCGACAGACATGAGCGAATGCATGCCGCCGGCTCCCATGCAAGAGCTGCTTCATCTCCTCCACCAGTCCCACCAGCGCAGACGGTTGATAGTATTGTCCATCAGGGCATCCACTCCTGCTTTGCAGTCCAATTCGACAATGATGGGCTTCTCTGTTCGCTGCAACGCCAGGGATGTACCCTCGAGACACGTTGGCATTTCCGCCTCCATTGGGGAGCGACATGATCGAAGGAAACGACACGCTGAGAAGATGATGGCCCCTGTGTCATCCCTTAACACCATGCCCGTGCCCCCTGTATCTGTTGGCGTCCTGGACTTGGGGGTATCCAGTCGTGCCTGCCTGCGGCCCACCACGAGGCTCCATCGACGGCCTGGTGCGGCCCAGTTTCAACATCAACACCGCAAGACCCTCGCGAGGCGGACGACGCTAAGACCCCTGAAGGAGTTGGCCTCCTCGGGAGGGCTCCTGAGGGGCGGAGAGATCTATGCAGCTACCTCATGAGGCTCAGCTGACGTGAGCCAGGCGGGCGCAGAGCGCAGGTTTCCTCTTCGGTGCAAGGGGGGCAAGCCACAAGCGCGGAGTCCCGAGGAATCACCCAAAGGTTTCTATTTCAGTGCAACGAGACCAAGACCGCCAGGACGGCAAGATGGAGGTCATCACCGAGCCTACCGCAGCGTCACGGCCAGAGGCTTTTCGCGGGCGAAGACTACTTTTGTCAGGACAGACTGTACTACTTGTCCCCCTTCAAGTCCCGCCGTTGTGGAATCCCTTCCCGCTCATATTTGGGAAGAGGACCAAGGCGACTATATATAGGACTTAGCCACCATCATAATGGGGAGAGATCCATTCCACCCCGAGCACCACACCAGCTCAAGAACACCTCACCTCCTAAGGCTTGTTCATCCTTTGTACTAGTTCATCCATAGCCCCTCGAGGCAATCCATCGCACCACACTGGATTAGGGTGGTACACCACAACGGTGGCCCAAACCAGTATAAATCTCTGTGTCTTTGTGTCTCTGTGAGCTCTACGTGCTAGGCTAGGGAGGATCGCGAGTAGGCAGGCTAGACAGGTTGAGATCTCCGCATGCACCCCAGTGTTCGAACCTCTTACGGGTTGCCGGATCCCGAAATCCAACATTTGGCGCGCCAGGTAGGGGTGCGTCGGATCTCCTCTTCGAGTAAATAGCATAAAACTATTACTTTACAGGCTAGTGTTCCAAAAAACTACCGATTTTTATTTTTTCTCAGATAACTACCAAGTTAGAGGTCGACTGTTTCAAAAAGCCCTAATTGCCGAGTGTTTATATATTGACTGTGATTATGAAAGGTTGGACCTGCATCTAAACGGAGCTCTAGTTTGACCGTTAGTTTGACCGTTAGTTGACATGTGGGGCCCACATGTCAGTGTCTCTTCTCATCTAGTCAATCTTCTTCTCCTCCCTATGCCTTCCTTCTTCTCCTCCACTCTCCTGCTCCCGAAGAACACCGGAGAACCGCCATGGCCGCCGCCCACGCCGCCATCCTATGCCATGTCTGGCTACCGCCCTATCCCACCTCGCCCCCTCCTCCGCGGTTGCTGCTGGTAGGAGCTCGCCGGAGCTCATGGTGACAGGAGGCTCACAGGCCTTAACGGCCTCGTTCGCGGCAGGGGCCGTTGCCGCGCGCGCCGCCGTGGGGCTCCGGCTCAGGTCGCCACACCGCCGCGCGCCATGGGGAGCCGCCTGGGGCGCTGCTAGCCATGGGGCTCCTGCTCGGGTCATCGCACTGTCACACGCCATCGGGAACCGCCTGGGGCGCCGCCTGCCGTGCGTCTCTGCTCAGGTCCCGCACTGCCGCCCGCCATGGGGATCCACCTGGGGGTCGCCGCAGGCGAGGCAGAGCATGGCGGCGACCATAGGCGAGGGGTGGCGTGGGGGCGGCCACGAGCGAGGGGCGGCGTAGCAGCGGCCACTGGCGAGGGGCGGTGTGGATCCGGCCACTGCGGGCGCGGCTCGCCGGCCGCAGGCGGTGCACAACGTCGGCCCGGAGGAGGTGGCATCGCGGTCATGGCGGGTGCGCCGGAGGACCTGATTGCTTTTTTTGAAAACTTCCAGGGACCTGATTTCTTTTTAAAAAAATTCTAGGGACTAGGTTGCTTTTTCAGACACTGGCATGTGGCCCCCACATGTCAGTTAACGGTTGAGGGAGTCCCGGACTAGGGGGTGTCCGGACAACCGAACTATCATCATCGGCCGGACTCCAAGACTATGAAGATACAAGATTGAAGACTTCGTCCCGTGTCCGGATGGGACTTTCCTTGGTGTGGAAGGCAAGCTTGGCGATACGGATATGTAGATCTCCTACCATTGTAACCGACTCTGTGTAACCCTAGCCCTCTCCGATGTCTATATAAACCGGATGGTTTTAGTCCGTAGGACAACAACGATAACAACAATCATACCATAGGCTAGCTTCTAGGGTTTAGCCTCCTTGATCTCGTGGTAGATCTACTCTTGTAATAACCACATCATCAATATCAATCAAGCAGGACGTAGGGTTTTACCTCCATCAAGAGGGCCCGAACCTGGGTAAAACATCGTGTCCCTTGTCTCCTGTTACCATCTGCCTAGACGCACAGTTCGGGACCCCCTACCCGAGATCCGCCGGTTTTGACACCGACATTGGTGCTTTCATTGAGAGTTCCTCTGTGTCGTCACCGATAGGCTCGATGGCTCCTTCGATCATCAACAACGACGCGGTCCAGGGTGAGACTTTCATCCCCTGACAGATCTTCGTATTCGGCGGCTTTGCACTGCGGGCCAATTCGTTTGGCCATCTGGAGCAGATCGAAAGCTACGCCCCTGGCCGTCAGGTCAGACTTGGAAGTCTTAACTTCACGACTGACATCCGCGGAGACTTGATCTTCAATGGATTCGAGCCAGAGCAGAGTGCGCCGCACTGTCACGATGGGCATGATTTAGCTCTGCTGCCGGACAGTGCCCTGGAGGCCGCACACGAGTCCTCTTCTACCCTCGATTCGGAGCCGGCTGTGCAGATCGAGGACGGGTGGTTAGACACCGCCTCGGGTGC